CCGTAGTGATACTGCCTCGGAAACCCAAGGAGGGGTCGCTATGAGTCGGGGCCGACTCGACGGCACATAACAACAACAACAACGATTGCTTCTGTTTCATGTAAGGAATGACAGACTAGGTAATTCAAACAAACCCTCCCATTTAAAAAATAATAAAAAAACATAAAACACCATTTAAAAAAAAGAGAGAGAGAGAACGCTGATAGTGAGCAGTTATCAAGCCAGAAACCAGGCAGGGAACCCAGAAACAAGCAAAGTACTGGGGAGGACTTTTTCTTAGGAGCATTTACCAAACCAGAAGCTGCAGATCAAAGGCTAAGGCGTATTTCTAATAAGAGTCAAAATCTGCCAGCCAGGGCTGAGGACTCTAGTAATCAATATCCTCTTTTAGTTGGGTACACTTAAGGGCTGCACCCTAGTACTAAGGGTGAACTGGAAGTAAAAGAGCCCTCTAATTAGTCTACAGCCTGCAGGTGAATCACTTAGGAGACCAGAAACATCTCCAGCACTGAACACGGATAGAGTAAAGTGGTCCCCCCTGGGCTCCTGACAGAAACAAACAAAAATATTCCTGGAGAAAGACAGTATCATCATAGGTCTCAAATGATTTAGTAATAGAACCTCTGAAATACCAATTACAAAAATTATATAAATTAAGTGCAGATGTAATATTTCCAAGTGAACATTATAGCATCATTACGCTATACCAATAACTAAAAAGGTGTCGACATTTTAAAAAATTCTATTTACTATCTGTATAAATTTATGGCATCTGAATAAACAAGACTATATAAATACAAAACATATCGCAGTTAGCTCAAAGAGACATTTTGTAGTTCAAATAAGTTCTGGAAACATTTTGCTCTTCAAGACATCTCTTACACACTGTCACCCACAGTCATCAAGTAGATTTTGACTTACAGTGACTCTTTAGGACAGAGTAGAGCTGCCCACAGGATTTCCAAGGTTGTAAGTCTTTACAGAAGCGGACTGCTTCATCTTTCTCCCGCTGAACAGCTCGTGAGTTCAACCAGACATCTCTTACCTACTCAATGTTACATAGGAACAAACTTAAAACTACACTGGCCATGCTTTAAAAACTAAATAGCATTGGTTTCCTTTCTCCCTATAGTCTGCTTCAGTAAAAGAAAGGATCACACTCTACAACAGCACACAACATTCTGAAATAAGCAAAAACAGAAATTTACTTGTTCTGCCATTTAAGCACAGAACTATAACAGGACATTTGATTCAGTATTTTATTCCTAAAATCTATTTTTTTCTTTGCCAGGAAATGAAAATGAAAAGAAATTATAAAATACTTTTTTTTTTAAAAGAAGTTTCACTACTTTGATAATTTTGAATTTTAATCTCCCTTAATTTATGTTACCAAAGTGGATCAAAGCTAGTCTTAATGTTTAGGCAGCGCTAAACCACCGTCAGCGTCGTCGTCCCCTCTCGTACCTATAGTGTCGGGGAGGTCTAGCAGTTCGTTGTGCTGCAAGTCAAGGTTAGTAATCTGTGTGCAGTTTCCAATCTCCTTTGGAAGGTGTTCGAGTTGATTGTGAGCTACATCCAGCGTGATGAGGTTACATAATTCACCTGCAAAGTGACCAACATGAAAATTTAATAAGCATTTTTAAAGCATGTATCAAATAACATTGGCTTGCAAGGGAATAAACTGGGAGTAAATTTTATTATTTCTGAATACAAATAAAAAAAAATATAACCTTATCATGTATGCAACTTGTATATGGCAAGGGTAAATTATTAGTGAACCCACATTATGAGGAAAATACTTCATTTTTCTAAATCATAACTGTACTTTCTTTCTGAAAAAGTCAGTCAAATGCCCTACCTGACAAAAGGACTTAATCTCTAGAATTTATAAAAACTCCAACACTTCAACAACAAAAAGACAAATAATGCAACTAAAAAATGGGCAGAAGACATGAATAGACACTTCACCAAAGAGGATATTCAGGCAGCCAACAAACACATGAAGAAATGTTCATGATCATTAGCCATTGTTATTGTTGTTGTTATGTGCCGTCGAGTTGGACCCGACTCACAGCGACCCCTCTTTGGGTTTCTGAGGTAGTATCACTACGGAAGTAGATTGCCCCATCTTCCTTCTGCATTAGCCATTAGAGAGATGCAAATCAAAACAACAATGAGGTACCATCTTGCCCCAGCACTAGTAGCAAAGTTCAACAAGACAGAAAATAATAAACGCTGGCAAGGATGCGCAGAGACTGGGACTCTCATACACTGCTGGTGGGACTGTAAAATGATAAAACCACTGTGGGAAGCAGTATGATGATTCCTTAAAAAGCTGGAATTGGAAATATCATTTGACCCAGCCATGCCATTACTAGGTATATAGCCTAAAGAAGTGACAGCCAGGACAAGCACAGATATATGCACACCCATGTTCATCGCAGCACTATTTACAATAGCAAAAAGATGGAAACAACCTAGGTGTCCATCAACAGAAAAGTGGATAACCAAACTATGATACATACACACAATGAAATACCATGCAACCCTAAAGAATAACACAGAATCAGTGAAACACCACATAATGTGGATGAACTTGGAGGACATTATACTGAGTGAAATACGTTGATCACACAAGGACACATATTGTATTAGTCCACAATTAGTCAAAGTCAAGGAAAGTGAAAAGTCAAGGAAAGGTTTATATATGGAAGGAAATTTTATTGGTTACCAAGGGTGGGAGGGAAGGGGAGGGAACACTGTTAGGTAGGTAGAGACAAGTGTTGATTTGGGCGAAGAGAAGGGCAATGTACCAAATGTGAGTGATCAACACAGTGCCATTGAAGAAGAGGAAGACATAGAAAGGTGTGTAAGATGTACAGAAAACAAAGATGAACCTTTTCACACATACAGTACTGCACTGTCAGTGAAAGCAAACATGGATATATGGGTGGACAGATGGATGGACAGGCTGAACTATTAGGTATGTCTATGCAGGGGAGAGTGTACCCAAGACCATGTATAGGGTTGGCAGACAATGTTTCTCCAAGTGTATTGGTATATTCTGTAAGACTTCCCAGGTATATAGTAGGGCTGCCAAGGGACAGTGTTGTAGTCACTTTTTGGCCACAGACAGCTAGCTACCCAGAGGGAGTGAAGAGTTGGACCTGTGGGCTCTGGACCGTAGTTGTAGGGGACATCAAGCTCAATTGGCATAACATACTATACAAAACACTGTTCCACATCCTACTTTGGCAAGTAGCGACTGGGATCTTAAAAGCTTGCAAGTGGCTGTCTAGATGCAACAATGCGTCACTTATCCAGATCAAAGAAGAATGAAGGAAACCAAAGATGCAGGGAAACAATTACACCAAGCGACTAGTACACCATGTGATCCTCAGCCTGTATGTCTATGAGACCAGAAGAACTAGATGGTACCTGGCTACGACTGTCAACCACGTGGAGGGGGATCTACGTAGGAGATCCTGGATAGAGTGGGAGAACAATGTAGAACAAAACTCAAAAATCATTAAAAAAACAAAAGTGGGGGGTGGACCAGGTTTGCTGGTCTGATAGAGCCTGATGGAACCACTGAGACTACGGCCCCTAGCTGCCCTTCAGGTCTAGAATTGAACCCACTCCTGTGGCTTCCAGCCAAAGACAGGCATATGAGTTGAACATTTACATTAGGTAGATACACTCCTTGGAGAGAACAATCATGGGAGAATATAAGGGTTGTGTATACACAAGGATACAGCTCGGAGGGCAGGATTACATGGCAGGAAGGACACAGGGGAATAGGTAACTATGGGAAGGAAATGGGAGGGGAGCTGTTGCATTGTGGTAAATTGTAGTCAATATCATGAGACAAAGTGTATGTGAGCTGCTGTATGGAAAGTGAATTTGCTCTGTAAACTTTCACCCAAATCACAACTAAAAAAAAAAAAAAAAGTCAATCAAATGCAAAATCTGAAACCTTTATTCAAAATGACACTTGATAAAATGAAAATGTTCCTTAAAAATGATACCAACCTTAATTAAATTCTTTTCAATTTGATTCAGCCATAAACATTTACATCTGTATATTTTGTATTTTAACAAGTGTTAATTTTTTACATCAAATTAGCATAGTAACTTCTGATACATCTTGAGTTCAACTTGAGGGTTACCTTCTATCTCAAAATATACATGTTGTCAAATAGATGTATGTTCTGATGTGTATAAATTTGATGTATAAATACAGAAATTGAGATGTAGATATCAAGATTGCTTCCTAACTTAATAGGGCTCTAAAAGGTTTGACAACAAGATATATTTTTCCTCCTTCTTCTTGTATTGGCAAATTAGATCATTCTTGTTATCCTGCCTTTAAATATCTTACTATCGTGTGCCATCAAGTTGATTCCAACTCATAGGAACCCTATATGACTTTACAACACATGTCTTGGTACTCTCACTATTTTCCTATTTATTAAGAAAAGGAAAAAAGGTTGGAGAGGCTGGAAAAGTAAAACAAACTGCATAAAACTCTGAAAAATGTTTGTGGCGTATTATTAAACCACATATAATTTGAGATTAACTAGCATTCTCAACCAGCAAGTCCTCCTCGATCAGTTTACTGGGCAGCAACTCCAAAGAGGTGAATGAGACCCACTGACATCATCTAAAATTTCCAATACAGTATACCTGTCTATAAGACTAATTCCAACTACTATTCCAGCCTGACACTGAAGGTTTTTTGTCATCTGGTTCTGCCTTAATTTAATTTCCCAATATCCCAAGTGTACACTCTCTGCTAGTACATTCATGATTCTTTAAATATACAACAGCACATAACAACAACAACCATACTTGTTCACAATAGTTGTTATTTTTTGTACTGATCATGTCCATCTGAAATGCCCTTTTCCTTCTCTTTTACCTATTCCAATCTTCTCCATCGTTAAAGTAGAAACCAAGTCTTTATCACCTGAATAAGCCTTTTTCTCACTGGCCTGGCCCAAAGGGAATTATCCATCTCTTGATCTTCCCTCAAACTAAAACAAATTCACTTGACCCTATCTGTTCGTATCATCAATTATCTAATTTAATCTAATATATGTGTAACCCCTCCATCATCTAAGATCCTCGAGGGCAGGGATGGCTTTCTAGTTCTTACATACCTCCAACACTACTAAACATATTTTTATTACATAATGATCACATTTCTAATGCTTAATGAAATAGTTTATCATAAAGTTTCTTGTGTCTGGCTATACTAATTTGTACTGTTATTTAAATAATCATTATGTACATATCTTCTCTTCCTAATTAGACAGTGAATTGCTAAAATTCAGAGAATAAGTATTATAAATTTCCCTCAGGACTTTACATACCAAAAAAAAAAAAAAAAAACCCAAACTCACTGCCATCAAGTCTGTCCTGACTCATAGCAACCCCTCCTTGGGTTTCGGAGCCGGTATATCTATGGAAGATATTCCCCAATCTTTCCTCTGAGGAGTGGCTGGTGGGTTTGCACCATGAGCCTTCTGGTTAGCAGTCAAATGCTGTAGGCACTATGCCACCAGAATAGCATGTGCTCAGTAAAGAGCTGTAAACTAGTATCTTCCCTTACCCCACCGAGTATAAATAGTTTCTTCTAATTTAGGCTTTATATGCCTTCATTTAGCAAATATGTGTATCTACATTATGCCAAACACAATACTATATAAGCAATACATATATAAAACCAAACTCACGGCCCTCGAGTAGATTCCACTCATAATGACCCCTCCTTGGGTTTCCGAAGTGGTATCTCTACGGAAGTAGATTGCCCAATCTTCCTTCCAAACAGTGACTGGTGGGTTTGAACTGCCAGCCTTCTGGTGAGCAGTCAAATGCCTTAGGCACTATGCCACCAGACCTCCCACTACACCACCAGAGCTCCCATAATCACATATGTTGTTGTTGTTGTTATGTGTCCGTGGAGTCAGACTCGACTCATAGCGATCCCTCCTTGGGTTTCCGAGGTCATTATCTCTACGGAAGTAGATTGCCCAACCTTCCTTCCGAGGAGTGGTAAACAAAAGAAACATAGTTCCTGACCTCACGGAGCTTATTTTGTAGAAGAAAGGATAAACAATGAAGTTATATGAACAAATTTAAAATTACAGAATAAAAGTACAGAGAACAGCAAAAGAATAAAAAAGAAAGCATGTCAGTGAGACTGGGGGTTCAAGGAAGAGTTCTCTAAAATAAAATTGAAGTGGTGACGCTCAGGATGTGAGACAGAGTTTGCGAGCAGGACAGGTTATGAAGCAAGGCTTCCAGGAACAAAACTAAGGCCACCGCAAAGACCCTTTACCTGACCTCTCAGCAGCATTTTACTGCTAATGCTGTAAAGGCAAGTTCTCTATGAAAAATCTTCACTGTAGGCCTCAAATAATTCCTATAAATATTTTTTTTTCATATATAAAACAGGTACACCAGGAAACAAAACATATGAACCAAAAGAAAAAAAACAATAGTACAAGGAGACCCAAAAAAGATGTGTTAAATACATTTTAAAAACGAAAGGCAAATATAAAAATACTACAGGGAATAAGAAACTACAAAACATGACA